ACTCGAAATCACAACCGGAAACATGCCCCAAAATCAACAAGAACTTTAACACAATCACAACCAATAACTTCAACAAACACAACCAACAACTTCAACAAACACAATCAACAACTTCTCGAAATTAAACAAGTTTGGCGTGTGGGGGAAAGAACCAACCCAACACTATGAACTCACATACCTAGTAGGAATCACCCCCGACGATATCCACGACGATCTTTGACGAAACCTTACTTGATCTTCTCTTTCTCCCCTTCTTCTCCTCTTTACTCACAAACCCTCACTCTCACTCTTTTAAAAGGGAAAAACTGATTTAAAATAAGTCTAACACCTCAATATAACCAAAAGAAAAGTGGCTAGGGAAAAGACCAAAATGCCCTTACAAATTCGGGTTAACTGCCCTGCCAACAGCCCAACTTCCAAAGGGCATAACTCACTCATACGAACTCGGAAACGAGCAAACTCGGCGGCGTTGGAAAGATCATTCCAAGGGCTTTCCAAACATAACTGGAACTACACCTAACTAATCCTGAGATAGGAGTTATGACTGTTAAAAGTTGGCCAAAAACTCACTTTTTCCCATACTTGACCAAATTTCCAGATTTTTAAATTCTTTCCAAAAATGACTATTTCCGATTTTAAGCCTCTTCATAGTTATTTCAAATTGCCGGATGTTACATCCAATCTCCTTACTAATGAAGAATGACAAAAGTCTCACATTAATGATTAATGTGATGGGTGAATTTTTTATAAGGTTTGGACGGTTCTATTTTCTTTGAGCTAACTTTTGTGACGTGAGTTAGACATCAAGACTTAATTTTACACTAATAAGATTAATAACTTATATAGTTATGAAAAGAGAAAATACATAGAAACCCCATTAAACTATGACTCTTTTTTGAAAAAGACACTTAAACTTTGTGGGGGTCCTAATACACCCCTAAACTAGTTTAAAGTGAAATTATTGAACCCTTTTTTGGAATTTAATACAGGGAGTGTATAACACTCACCTCTAGAGCGTGAAAACTAAAAAAAAATATGATTGAACTTTTGTTTGCAATATTTTTGATTAAATATATAAATAATCTTTTATTTTAGTGTTAATTTTTTTTTCTTTCTTCTCCTTCCTACGCTTCACCATTGTCCATTGAAGGAGACAATGGCTGCGAGGTTTTTTTTTCTTCTTTTTCTTTCTTTTTTCTTTCTCTTTCTCTTTTCGTTTTCCATTCAAATTGGATTTTGATAGAGATTCAGTTGTAACTGAATAACACAATTTCAGTCCATCAATAAAATGCCTTTTTAGTTCGGTCACCGGCAAAAAGTTTCATTGACAACTAACTGATTTCCTTTGCAATAGCGACGATGAATGATTTATTGTTTCATCCTCAGATTTCTACTCCTCCTTCTTGGCCGGCGAGGGTGAGAAGCGCCGGAAAAATGATGCAACTTCGAAGAAAAAATCGTATTTCAAGTGACTTCTGATCATTAATGGGGCTGAAATCATGTTCAAACCAATTAAAAATTATCTCATCTGACCCTGAAGAGAGAATTTATGTTTTTCCAAATACAACCCATGTTGATTAGAGCAAAAATCAATGCTAAAATCACAAAAAGAAATTTTAATTTGAAAAAAATTAATTTGATAGCGGATTTAATTTCTCAATTTCAATTTTGATTTGGTGATAGACAAAATGAAAATGATGTTGTGCAAACAAGATTGTCAGCTAAGAAGACCAAAGGATGAGGTTAAGCAAAATTGAAGGAAATGAAAATATCTAATTAAAACTAAGAAAGAAAGAAAAAACATAAATAAAAACAAAGAATAGAAAATTATATAAAATTAACACGTGGCAAGCAGTAATTGGTGCGCGCATTCACTTTCTTTCTTATAAGTGGGATTGACCCAAAAATGGAATATTTATATCACTTTTAAATTGTTCAATGGGGTACTAGGACCCTTGTAAAGTTGGGTGTCTTTTTAAAAAATGTGTTATAGTTGAATGGGGTAATTATGTATTTTCTCTTATGAAAATTTCAAGTACCAAAAGCACAATTTTTTTATTTTATTAAAAATTCTTATCCAATCAATCACCGACAATATAAAATATTTTAGAGGATTATTAATCAGGAATGGAGCCAAATAGAGGCAAGGGTATTCATCAGCGGAAATTTACACTATTTAGATATTGAATCCCAATGGAGTTTTTCTTATACTTTCCTCATATTTTTAAATTCCTTAATAAAAAAAATTCGAACGTTGTCACTACCGATAATTGTCAAGGTAGCCAACAATAAAGTTCAACATCTCGATGAAAAAATCATTCCTTATTGAAATAAGAAATAACAATAAATCAAAATAACTCATAAAGGGTTGTAGCAGGATGAATAAGATTCATTCATGCTTAGTTAAATATGAAACAATTTAGGTAGATGTCATTTTCTACCTTAATAAATATTGCACGACATGAATTTAAATTAACGTACGTCCTAACATATGAAACAATTTAGGTAGATATCACTTTCTAACTTAATAGTACATGATATGAATTCAAATTAACGTACGTCCTAACATATGAAACAATTCAGGTACAACTTATTTTCTATCTTAACAAATATTACACATGAATTCAGATTAACGTGGGTCAGTGGCGGAGCCAGGATTTTCGCCAAGGGTGTTCATACTTTAGGACAAGTAAAAAAATAAACCTTGCTAGTCAGATTATAAAGATTGGCTTCAAAATAGTCATACCTCAATATCAAATTAACCAAATATCCAAAATGAAAATTCTTAAAACAGAAACTTACAAAATATCAATGGATAAACTAAGGAAGATGAAGTAGGACAAATATATTGACGGATAGTTTCATACACACCAAAATATGTAAATTGTAAAGTGGTAACTACAATTGCACTCGACGACACTTCATCTCTTGAAATGTTTTCATAATACACTCATTAGAAACATCTTTAAATACTTTTTTCTCTACATAAGGCACTATGCAACCATTTAAATAGACCTTTTGTTTCCTTTTGTTTTTCTTAACTTAAAAAAGGTAACTTTTGTACTTTTTCTTAAGAGAAAAACGGAACAAATATTAAATAAATGAAATGTTCAAGCCTGGGATCGAACCCAGACTGAGTTTTGCCTTTTCTAAGAGAACAAACGGAATAATGAAAAAATTTAAAGAAAATGCCTACACTTGGGCTCGAACCCGGAACGCAGAGGCATCTTTGCACAACCTTAACCACTGGGCTGTCAACCTTTATTGTGTCAAGGTTGTTCAACAGTTAGTATATATCCAAAAAACTTGATATTTAGTATATATACCCTTAAAATTTTTCCAACGAAGGTTGTTCATCTAACCACCCTCGCCATGTCATAGCTCCGCCCCTGACGTGGGTCCTAACATAGATACCAAAACTCCCATGTGATAAAAAAAACCAAACAGATGAGAATAATGCTATCCTAATTAGACATATTCTTATACTAAAGTACTTTCCTACTTCATAATATCTTCTACAAAATACACAATTCTCAACTATTGCTATGAATCAAAGTGGTAAAAAGATTACTGCTGCAACTGCTAGAGCTCACACCAGAAAATCCAAGAACAACACCCCATTTCACTTTTCTTCAAGTGGGTACCTTTTTTTCCTTTCAAGATTTGATCTTTTTTTACTAATTTTGCCTTAATTTTGTTCTGTTTTGTTGAATTTTTGAGATTTGGGGGTTGGGGTTTGTTTGCTGATTTCAATGTCCAGCTAGTGTTGTTGTGTTACATCTTTTAAGCTGATTCTTGTACTGTATTTGGTTACATATTGTTCTGTTATGTAGTACTGTAGTTGCTGAAATGAGCATATGATGAATAATTTGCTTATATATGGTACTAATTATAAAGGGAAAAAGCTTAAATATGTCATCGAACTTTGAGAAAAGGCTCATCTATGTCATATGTTAAAAGTTTGGTCCATCCACGCCATTTGAGTTAACAAATAATGGCATGGATGAGTCTTTTCTCAAACGAAAATGGCATAGATTAGCCAAACTTTTAACGGATGACATAAATGAGTCTTTTCTCAAAGTTCGATGACATATTTGAGCTTTTTCCCAATTATAAATGTTGTTATCTTGAATGTTAGTTTTAGAGTTAAATGATAAAAAACAAACCTAAGCTATCACTTTTTCGCGAGTTTTATACCTCCACTATTTCTTGTATTGTATTGATTATATATAGTACTGTTCTGTAGTACTGTAGTTGCTAAATTTTTGATATGGTGCTTTCACTGAAATGAGCATATGATGAACAATTTGTTTAGATATGGGACTAAATTATAAATGTTGTTATCTTGAATGTTAGTTTGAGTTAATGGTCAAAAACACACCTAAGCTATCACTTTTTCGCGACTTTCATATCTTAACTATTTTTTGTTCCATTTACCTACTTGAACTATCAATCCTTTTGTATTAAAACATACCTTGTTGTTGAGTTGGCGAAATGTTTAATCACGATCCACAATAGGTGTGTGTAGGTCAACTTAGTATCGAGGTGTGTTTTAACGCAAAGGGAGTGATAGTTTAGGTAGGTAAATAGAACAATAGATACTTGAGGTATGAAACTCGCGGAAATGTGATAGTTTAGGTGTTTTCTTAGCCATTAACTCTGAAGTTAACCCAATAATAAAAAAGCTAAGGACTACATGAGATTCCTCATTAGGAACACAAGCCACGTGTAGGTCAGATAAGCATCGAGGTGTATTTTGATTCAATGGGAGTGATAGTGTAGGTAGGTAAATGGAATAATGGATAGTTGAGGTATGAAACTCGCGGAAATGTGATAATTTAGGTGTGTTTTAACCACTTATTCTTAATTTTATCCTATTTCGCACGGTTTGAACCAGGCCCATTCATTGTTTCATATGATTTTCACACCCAAAAGAGGGAAAAGGTTTTCTGGCTAGAATTGTGATTTTCATCCCCTTCCTTCCTTGCTGTTTCGATTCTAGGAGAACAGGTGGAATCCAGTCAAGTTCGTCGACTTGAGCTTTCAATTTGCTGCTCAACAAAGGTAATACACTTTCCTTTTGCATTTGTTTCAAGATTGTGTTATTTATTTGAATTCGACATTAGATTTTATAGTTAGGTTGCATTTATGAAGGGTGGGCCATCATTCCCGAGTTTCAAAGGCTGTGGTTGGCCCAAAGGGTCGACTCTAGATAGATTTCTCGGTCATTAAAAACATATACCAATAGCAGTCTTGGAGCCATTAGATGTAGATCTTTATTGTGATAACTATGTTATAGATTGGTCCATTCCATTAGCATTGGATCCTTCAACTGTGCCTTTGTAAATTCGGTTGCAGAGGTCAGAGTTAAGCGTGGAATGGGACGTATCTAAGGCACTAGACACATACAGGGCACTAGCCCGAGCACACTTTAGAGCTGAGAAATTTGTTGTGACTAAAGATCCTAATTTTGCTTTGTACGTACGTAGAGGTGTAGCCACATAGAGTTAAGGTGGTCAGTTGAATACCCTTCATCCAAAAATTATACGGAGTATGTAGAAAACTATACGGTGTATATAGGTCAAAAGATATCCTTGAACACTCTGAGTGAAATTATTGGCTTCGCCACTGTTTGTACAGGGATCTTACTTACAAGAACAGATTGAAATGAAGCCTAATAACACTAAGCCTTTTCCTTTCACATTGTGAGATAGCTCTAGGAGTTACAATCTCGAACTGTAATAACCACTAGAGATGAGACATAAATTCAGTACCCTGCTTCCGCAGCGGAAGTTCCGCTACTCTCTAGAATGATTTCCGTTCAGGGGAAGTGGGGATTAAAAAGTAGGCCACTTTGATCAGGGCCAATCAGGTATGGTAACTTCTGAAGGTTCTTTAAGCTGTGAAGAATGTTATATAAGCAGATTTAATAGTTCAAGTTAAGGTTAAGAAGTAAAACATAGTTGTGTATGGATGAGAAGAGTGAAGATGCATGGATTTGTCAAACGCAGCCAAGCAGTGTCCAATAAAATGAATGATATGCAATCACAAGACATAAACTGATGACAAATCCCTTTAGGGGTCGTTTGGTTAGTTATGTTGACATTATTTCTTATTCACCGTTTGATTTGGTGTATTATGAGTAGTTCTTTCTTTAACCATGCTTATCCAAGTATTAGTATCCCTTGTAGAGGAGTTTTCCAATGAGTTTCTGATAAGCTCTTTGATCAGTAGGAGGATCTTAACACACTGGTTCCTTCAGCTTATATTTTAGATGATCATCATATTGCTTCGATATCAGCTTTACATTTGTGTCAATAGGAGTTCCTGCAAGTTTGGATGCTGATAATCCTACCTCAGAAATAAGCTCTAAGGCATATTTTCTCTGATGCATTGTGATTCCTACCTTTGATCTGGCAAACTGGAAAATCCTTGAGGCATACACATTTAGGTTTCATCATGTAGATCTCCTTGTAAAAATTCATTGTGTACATCCATTTGATGGATGTGCCAATGATTTGATACAGCTAAGGCTAAGATAGTTCTTATCGTCACCATTTTCACCACTGGTGAAAATGTTTCTGTATAATCTATATCCTCTTTTAGGTTGTAACCTTTGGCTACCAACCTTGCTTTAAACCTCTCAACTTCACCTGTTGACTTGTATTTTATTTTGTATATCCATCTGCATCCAATTGGTTTTTTGTCATCAGGTAAATCTGTGACTAGCTGAGTATTGTTGGCTTCTAGAGCCTGAATCTCTGCTTTCATGGGTTCTACCCATCTACGATCCTTTAAAGCCTCAAGTATGACCCTGGTTCTTTAAGAGAAGAAGTCGCAGCAATATAATTTTGATATAAGGTTGACAGATGACTATAGGCAAACACTGCTTGGAATTCTATTGATCAAGTAAAAAGATGCTAAAACACACTGATACCAGAACTTTATAGGAATCTTAGCTTGAAACCTCAAGGCTCTTGTCACTTCTAATATATGCCTGTGTTTCCTCTCAGCAACTCCATTTTGCTAAAGGGTATAAGGGCAAGACCTTTGGTGAACTATTCCCATATCTTTAAAGAACTCATTACACACAGAATTCACAAACTCAGTCCCATTATCTGACCTTACTACCTTTACTGATTTATTAAACTGAGTTTTCACAAATTGCTGAATGGACACACATACATCAGACTTATTCTTTAGCAAAAATAGCCAAGTCATTCTTGTCAAATCATCTACAACTGTAAGAAAGTATTCATTGCCATCAAAGGTAGAAGTCGGACCCCACAAATCCATATGTATCAAATCAAAACTACCAACACTTCTGATGCTACTAACAGGAAACACTGATCTTGTTTGCTTAGCATAAGGGCACACGGTGCAATGATCCAAAACATTAGTTCTAGACTGTTAAAGATTTGGCCAAGCATCTTTAGAATTTGATCATATTGATCCCTTGTGAAAGTACACCCCTGCAACTGTTTAGCATAGTCATCAGTACTCCTGGAGCTGCTGGACAAGTTATATCCATTCTGATGACTCCTAGTAGATGGTGGTACATTAGTGTTCAAGCCATATGTGAAGGTTCCTTGAGCTTGCAAGTTTTCAGTACCTGCATACGTTTGCTCATCGATCACATTATATGCAGCCCAGATGCCTCACTATAAGTTTTTTTCTTAGACTTGAAGTCAGGTGGATAGCCTTTTAGTTTGAAACATTGATCCTTACTATGTCCTTTGCATCTGCAGAACTCACACACCACATTGAAGTTCTTTTTGAATCTTTGATTTCCACCATAACTACTAGGAAAATTACCACTGGGATGATTACACTAGTGTTACCACTAGATTGTCCACTAATACCTCTAGTATTTGAACCATAGTTTCCGTGTACATAGCCATAGAATCAAGACTATTAGCTGACGTAATGTTCATCCCAAGATTTCCACAACTTGAACCTAAGGACTTTTGTGCTTCATCACCAACTACCATGGCATAAACCTGATTGATATTTGACAGAGGATCCATCAAAAGAATTTGACTTCTGACTTGCTGATAAGAATTAGCTCATCCTACTAATTAACTATTGGAAGTTAGTTATCTAATCTCATAAAGGGAATTTAATGATTTACCCTTATTACTTCTATATTCTACATCTCAACTGTTATACACCCTATTCAATATTATAGGGTGTATTATTAATACATGTAGAGGTAAGGTCTGTGTATGTTGTTGTTCATGTCGAATAGTAGACAACTGTGCTAGTACCTTAACATCTCTGTTTTTGCTGTCATTTGAGGAACAACAAGAATATCCTTTTTCTGTTATCTTATCTTACTTTGAAAAGACACAATAATTTAGGTACAGGTAAACGAGAATTCTCAATTCCTTGGTAATTTCTGTGATTCATCTTTGTTCTTATAAGCTTTACCGTTATCTCAATGAAGATGCTTTTCTGTGGAATTCTCAATGTCTACGAGCTAACTACTGTGGATTTCTGTAATATATTTGGAAGTTTTTATGTCACACCAAAACGTAGCACAGTCTGTTGTATGCCATTTCTGATGTACTTGTAGAACTCAGAGTCAGGATTGGTTTTTAACATGAGAAACTCTGTACCACAATTTCATTAGGTGATCAGTTATTATTGGCCTTTTCTTTAGATAACGGAGGAATCCCTGAGGGCCTCTACCATTCTCGACCGAACTACCAGGCTTTTGTCTATAACAGGGTTCAAACTCGTGACGTGCGCCTAGCTCACACATGATGTGCTGTACTCTTACCACTAGACCAAAGCCCCGGTGGAAATAAATTAGTATTTGTTACTGTGGCAAATCTTAAGATGAGGAGCATTTGACATATATCTACACGAGCATAACAGTGAACACAATGATCTGTCATCAAATTTGCAATTTAGCTTTTTGTGCCTTATAGTGGCAAGCTCCACTTGTGCCTTAGCTACCTACTATTCTCATATCTGTTCTTGCTGTGTACCATTTAATGAAAAAATGCCTTCCAAAAATCTAATTAGAAATTTGGGTTCTACTGCCAAATAATGTTTGATTTGTGTTCATAAAACACGTGCCGTCTGTCTAGAGGCAATAGATTAAAGTTTATGACTTCATACTTATGTGGCATAGATCATTTACGTTGTATTAACATAAATTTTGCCACCGTATTCAACTATTGTCTAATTTATCCCTTCTCTTTTCAGCTATGATTACACAAATAGCAGTAGCAACAACAGTTGGACTTCTCGGATGGGCTTATTTGGCTTTACTTAAGCCTCCCCCTCCAAAAGTTTGTGGCTCTCCAGGTGGTCCTCCGGTGACTTCGCCAAGGGTCCAACTCAATGATGGGAGATATGTAGCCTACAAAGAGAGTGGCGTTTCCAAGGAGAAGGCAAAGCATAAGATCATTATTATTCACGGCTTTGATAGTTCCAAAGACTTGATGTTGCCGATATCCCAAGTATGAAAACTTTTATAACTCCATATTTAGCGTATTCATTTTAGTAGCTACTATGTATGTTATGACCAAGTTTTCTTGTACCTACAATACGGTTGAAAATCAGTAAAGTCTTACTGAGTTCAACGTTAATGACTGCTCGATAGTTGATGTTTGAAACTTCTGCTCTTTTCTTGCACTTTCATATTTAGAACTACAACAGACCTGATTGGCTGTATACTCCCTCCGTCCTAACTTAAGCGTCTTACTTTCCATTTTGGTCTGTCCCAAAAAGAGTATCTCTTTCTATATTTAATAAGTTTTCCAATTCCCAAATTCCAAGATTCAACGTGGCAAGTTAAAAACCATAAGATTTAAAAAGAACTTCAGAAATCTTTAATTTAAGACCACAAGATTCAAAAGTCTCCCTTTTATTTCTTAAACTCCGTACCCTGTCAAACTAAGACACTCAAGTTGGGACATAGGGAGTAATTTTCTTCTATCCTTAGAAGGGGAGATTGTCGTAGAAGGACAAAAAAGAAGAGGAGATTATCTTTAATAAACCTTTGGTTCTTGAATTTTGTATTTTCATTTTGCTGATTCTGTTTTATGTTTCCAGGACTTAATGCAAGAGCTTGAAATATATGTTTTACAATATGATCGTGCTGGATATGGAGAGAGTGATCCACATCCAAAGCGCTCAGTAAAGAGTGAAGCATTTGACGTTGAGGAGCTAGCTGATAAGTTGCAACTAGGACCCAAGTTCTATGTGGTTGGCTTGTCCATGGGAGCGTATTGTGTATGGAGTTGTCTTAAGTACATACCGAATAGGTACATTTTCATCTTTTACAGTCCTTTGTTACTCGGAAATGAACTTAACCATGTTTCTTATTGTTTTTAAATTAGATACCTGGAAGTGCTACATTTTCAGTTCTTTTATTTAATGAATTGAATGTCCAACGCAGGCTGGCCGGAGTTGCCCTTGTTGTTCCATTTGTAAATTATTGGTGGTCATGTTATCCCGCTAAACTATCAAACGAAGCCCTCGGGAAGATGCTTGCACAAGATCAACGGACATTCAGAATTGCGCATTATGCCCCATGGCTGGTTCATTGGTGGATGAACCAAAAGTGGTTCCATGCTTTAAGTATGATGGAAGGGAACATGGCAATATTTTGTCCGCCAGATCAAGAAATGCTGAAGCAGTTATCCTCTGCCCCGAGTCCTGGTCAGGTAAATGATTCTCATTTTCTTTTTTCACAATTTTTACAGTACGATGGTTGTTCACGGACTTGCTGAACCTGCCGTTTTTTTTTTTTTTTTTTTGGGATCAATATCTGCAGTTTATCCAACGATAAACAACATCCGTATTATAGAGCTACTACACAGTCAAAACTGAACTAACAAAATGTTGAATTTCATCGTTCCAGTTCCTACCGCGGGTCATTACTCATTTTTGTGCTTGCCTTTTGATTTTCCGTGACTAGAACATACTCCCAACTAGCACCCTCGTGATAGAACAATAAAATGATTATTTACCCTTTCTTTTCAAAAACCTCCTATGGTAGTACGCGGGTCTCCAAAATCCAATGTCGCAGGTTCAAATGCTACCGAGCGTGAATTTTTTCTTCTTATATGAATGAGATAGATTCATTCAGTATTTTCTTACCATTATGATTGTCATAATTCTGGAACTATGTCTTTGTCCAGGAGAAAGTTCGACAGCAAGGCGAGTTTGAATGTTTGTATCGAGACCTGATAGTTGGTTTCGGAAACTGGGACTTTGCTCCGACGGATATAAAAAATCCTTTTCCAGATAACGAAGGTTCGGTCCATCTTTGGCAAGGACACAATGACATAATTATTCCGCGCGAACTCAATAGTTATCTAGCAGAGAAGCTCCCTTGGATTCAATATCATGAGGTTCCTAATGCTGGACATTTAATAATTCACAATGCTAGTTATTGTGAAACCATCTTGAGGAAACTTTTGGAGTAACAGTAAAGTTGTCTCCGTGTGACCTATAGGTCACATGGAAGCAATCACTTATCCTGAACCAAGGTAAGCTATCTACATCACATCCGTTATAGGGTGCGACCCTTTCCCGAACTCTGCTAAAGTGGGATGTTTTGTGCATCAGACTTCCCTTTTTGCATGTATTTGCGGACAAGAAGGTAACTTGCAATATTCTTATGAGAAAATTAAGTGCATAAGCATTTGTAATAAATACTAGATATTACAAATGAAATTTGGAGAGTCATCCAAATTTTCATAATTTTTAAAAAAATGTTTGAAGTTATTAATTATTGTGATTTATAATATTTTTATGTAACTTTGAAATAATGTACATTACTGGTCACTTTGTCCTAATTTATGTGATATGGATAAAATTACAAAATTAACCCTTTTAAAATGTCTTTCAGATATTTTAAGTTGTTAATTATTATTATTTATAATACTTTTTTGGTAATATTAAAATGATATGTGTTATTTTTTCTGTCCCAATATATGTGAGCCTGATAAAATTCTGAGAGTCAACCTATTTTATTATATAACTTTTAAATATTTTAAAGCTTTTTAAGTCATTTGTAAATGATATATGTTGCT